TAGCCCGTGCAGGACTCGAACCTGCGACCACCAGGATGTTAGAACTTCTAACATGAAACGCTAAACTGGCGCTCTACCAACTGAGCTAACGGACATGTGACTTTGGAAGACAGTACTAGATATAAGTACGGTTTCCAGCCGTGTTCATAGGAAAGAAACACTTAGAGAACCAACTCGAATTTGTTCTTATAACCTCACGCATATATGTCTCTACATCTCGCTCCGCTGTTTCATGTCTGGTATGTATTGTATACTTTCAAATTTGTCACGCAACATGTTTCATGTCTGGTATGTGTACAAAACATTATAGCAACAAGAAGCAGTAGGCATGCTATGTATCAGGAATTTCGCTGCTGTCTGTCGGCAGGGGTGGTCTGCATTTATATTCACTTGTCAGTTTTCGCTACATTCTTCTATGTCTAAACAGAGAACTTAGTATCAAAAAGCAGTTATCAAGCATTAACCTCCCCTATCAAGACTGTGTATAACTGGAAGATTAACAGACCCAGTGGAGATGACGTTCCACAAGAAGGGAACCTGGACTGCAGTCGGCTGAATTCTACGGTGTCATTTTGCCACTGTTAGGGACACCGTTGGGATCTCCAGGCATCATCATCATATATACATATACATACACTCATATATGTGTATATATGTACATTTTTATACACATATATATACATCAAACAGTTCTCTGGGGCTCAACCAACTGAGCTAAAGGACAAGGATAAAGGGAACAAGAAAGGGAATTTAAAAGGTTTAAATGAATCACAATTATTGATCATAATTACAATATTCATCCTCATTTTAATCATTATCTGATAGAAAGCCCACTCCCACCCGGCCGGTTCGCCCAGAGCCTGACCTGCTCCATTAGGGATCCGAACGTGGATTGTATTGATCCACAGACAGCTATGGACATTCCTCGCCACTTGCCAAAACATTTCCAATGTCTGTGTTCATCTTTAGTCTTAATAGCTATTGAAATGTGATATTGTTGTGGAGTGGTTCTTGAGAATGTAGTGAAGAGCAAGGTAAAAGCAGTGATTTAAATTCAAACATGTTATAAGTTACAGGGTTCGAACCTGTGTTGCTAACAATGTAGCGTTGTCATGCAGCGAAGAACGATTATGCTGTGCGGGCTCCGAGGTTTTTCATCATCATCAACATGACTATCATTATCCTTACTACTACTACTATTACTACTACAAATATTGAAGCGCATCTCATATCATCAAGACACTTCAAATAAAATCTCTTTCATTTCACACACACACGCACACACACGCACATACACACATATACATGTACTTATGATATATATATATATATATATATATATATATATATATATATATATATATATAATGTGTGTGTGTGTGTGTGTGTGTGTGTGTGTGTGTGTGTGTGTGTGTATTCATAAATACATATATGTATTTATACATATATATTCATAGACTAAAAGAGAGAAATAACAGTGAGAAAGGGAAGAATTACTTCAAAGGCGAAACGCGACAAAACGTCGCTCGTTTTCTAAACAGACGCGACGTTTGGTCGCGGTCGCTTGGTGACGAAACCAACAGCCGATGGGAGACTATGGTAAAGCTTCGTAATTTAAAAGACGGAAAAACTTTCAGTGCAACTACTTGTCATATATTTAAAACCTAAATATATGTTTGAATTCAAGTTGATAGCATTTACAAATGAATAAACCAATGTAATTATATGCATTTCAATCGCCAATTCTCTTTATTCCCCTTCTTATACCTTTCATTTCTTCTCTCTACATGTCCGTTAGCTCAGTTGGTAGAGCGTCAGATGTTGTGCACCGACTGGAGGTCACAGGTTCGATTCCTGTACGGGCTACACTTTTCCTGCAACGTTTCGTACTTGGGAAATCTATCTATCTATGAAATTAGATTTTAATATCGAGATATTTCATTCCACATTTCATTTCCTCCTTTCTTTTCCAAGGCTTAAATGTTTCTTTCTCCATATGTACATGTCCTCTATAGACACGCATTCATACACACATACGTACAATAAAACCTTTAGATTTTTGTGAAAAAACAACAACAACAATATGGCTTCATTTAACACAGAGAACACCACTGACAGACTTCGGTTGATAGACAGAAAAATAAAACACCAACATGACATCAACGTCGTCCTCCTATATGATTCCATGACCCTATTCCTGACCGCCCATGACCCTACATTCACATGCTCGTTAGCTCAGCTGGTAGAGCGCCAACAAACGAAACAAGCAACTCCTTGGAGGTCAACGAGCTACAACTTTTATCGTTATCGTTATTAATACCATTATCATCCTTATCATTATTTTACGATTAATCTTGCCATTATTATTGTCGTTACTCTTGTCATTGTTGTTATCACTATTACTGCTACTGTTGTCGTTGACATTGTACTTTGAAAATAAGATCTGGCATAGGAACCGGAAAGATTATGTTGTGAAGGGCAAGTACTAGTAGAAATAAAGGTCTTTAGCTTGGTATGACGATTACTATCATTTCTATAATTACAATTATCATCGTTATTGTTATTGTTTTTGTTATCGGGTCCTCTGACGATCGTGTCTGACAGAAAAAAAAAAACTTTTGAAACAGCTCGTGAAGGAGAGTCAGTGGCCTCACCAGTGGTAGAAATAGAAGCTTCTCTTTTGTATACATGCACACTTCGACCTTTTCTATTTGAGAGAGAGAGAGAGACAGAGAGAGAGAGAGAGAGAGAGAGAGAGAGATAGATGAGGAAACAGATAAAGACATTCTCTCACTTGAAATGCAAAGCGCGATAAAGCGTCGCTGTAGGTGCGATTTGTGTATAGATAAACTTACCCAATCGATTTGATATTCGATAATAATGTAGCCCGCACAGGACTCGAACCTGCGACCACCAGTTAGTGACCATCGCGTTCTGGCGCTCTGCCAACTGAGCTAACGGACATGTACTTTTAATGGCTAATATTCTGTACAAATGCGAAGATTTTACGCGGAAAATGCTTTTTGACAGCTATGAATTTTTACAAAGGTTTGGGCGATTGTCGACAAAAAAAAACTACGGTATCACTTCGCCAAAGTTCAGAACTGCCTGTGCAGTCAGCCAGGTGGTAAATAAAGGACAAAAAAAAAAAAATAATAAATAATAATAATATATGAATGTATTTCATAAGGAAGATCCGCCATTAATCAGTCTTTTCTACGATGGAAAATATCGGCATCGAATCTATCTTAAACAAGTATTTCCCCCGCCTAAAAAAAAAAAAAAAAAAAAAAAAAAAAAAAAAAAAAAAAAAAAAAACAGTGTATCCCTCGCAAAACGCACTTGCAACACTGCCTTGAAACTCTGAATAATGTCTATGACTCCTGACAAAGTCGGGAAGTGACGCTCCGAGGTTTTATTACATCTGCCATTGAGAATATGACTACATTATCATTACTAATTACTACTACAAATACTGAAGCATATTTTATGTCCTATAGACGCTATAAATGAAATCCACATATATATGTGTACTATACATATATATATATATATATATATATATATATATATAATATTATATATATAAGACAAGAGAAAAAAATAGACAGATAGAGGGAATAACAGTGAGAAAGCAAAGAAAACGCGATAAAACGTCACTCATTATACATATATTATATATAACACCATCTCGAATGTGGCGCTGCACATTTCTGTCCCCTGCTGAACAAACTCCATCACCGAAGACAAGCGCGACAAAACGTCGCTCGTTTTCTAAACAGACGCGACGTTTGGTCGCGTCGTTTGGTGACGAAATCAACAGCCGATGGGAGACTATGGTAAAGCTTCACAATTTCCAAGAATAACCTTCAGTGCAACTACTTGTCATACATTTAGAACCTAAATATACAACTGAATTCAAGTGGATACCATTTACAAATGAATTAAACCAATGTAATTATATGCATTTCAATCGCTAATTCTCTCTTATTCCCTTCTTATACCTTTTCATTTCCTCTCTCTACATGTCCGTTAGCTCAGTTGGTAGAGCGTCAGATGTTGTTACACCGACTGGAGGTCACAGGTTCGACTCCTGTACGGGCTACACTTTTCCTGCAACGTTTCGTACTTGGAAAATTTATCTATCTATGAAATTAGATTTTAATATCGAGATATTTCATTGCAAATTTAAACCCATAAAACTGATTTTATTTCATTTCCTCCTTTCTTTTCTAAGGCTAAATGTTCTCTCTCCATATGTACATGCCCTCTATAGACACGCATTCATACACACATACGTACAATAAAACCTTTAGATTTTTGTAAAAAAACAACAACAACAATATGGCTTCATTTAACACAGAGAACACCACTGACAGACTTCGGTTGATAGAAAAATAAAACACCAACATGACATCAACGTCGTCCTCCTATATGATTCCATGACCATATTCCTGACCGCCCATGACCCTACATTCACATGCTCGTTAGCTCAGCTGGTAGAGCGCCAATAACGAAACAAGCAACTCCTTGGAGGTCACAGGTTCAAGTCCTGTACGAGCTACAATTTTTATCGTTATCGTTATTAATACCATTATCATCCTTATCATTATTTTACGATTAATCTTACCATTATTATTGTCGTTACTCTTGTCATTGTTATCACTATTACTGCTACTGTTGTCGTTGACATTGTACTTTGAAAATAAGATCTGGCATAAGATTATGTTGTGAAGGGCAAGTGCTAGTAGAATAAAGGTCTTTAGCTTGGTATTACGATTACTACCGTTTCCATAATTACCATCACCATCGCTATTGTTATTGTTTTTGTTATCGGTTCTTCTGACGATCTTGTCTGACAGAAACAAAAATTAAAACAGCTCGTGAAGGAGAGTCAGTGGCCTCACCAGTGGTAGAAATAGAAGCTTCTCTTTTGTATACATACACACTTCGACCTTTTCTATGATTGAGGAAAAACAGAGGAGAGAGAAAAGAGAGAGAGAAATGACGATAAGGAAGCAGATAAAGACTATTCTCTCACTTGAAATGCAAAGCGCGATAAAGCGTCGCTGTAGTTGCGATTTGTGTATCTAGA